GTCTCCAAAGGCGCCGCTGCCTGCGAACGGCGCGAGCCGCCTCCCGCTGCGCTGAGCGCGGGACGCGCCCATCGCGATGGGCCGCACGACTCCGTCATATGCACAGCTGCCGGGAAAAAAAAGACATTGGCGCGACCTGTGCAGGACGAGTGGGGGATTGTGAATGCGCGCCGCGCCCGCTGGACACTCCCAAAGTCAAGGCAGTGTTGGGAATCCCCAACGGACGTGGACGTTGTATGGGCTACTGCTAACACTTGTGTCTCAACTCGAGGATCCGTAGCCATTTTGGCTCAAGGGCTCTTGTTTGAGGTTCCTTTGGTAGTGAGGCCCCTCGCTAGCTTGTGTTGCCTCTCACGGTCGTTTGGGTTGTTCGTGGAGACCAAGTGGCCTGCCACTGCTCCGTGTGAGCGTCCGGTTCCTCCCCAAGGACTGCCTGGCTCTGCCCCGAGTGCATCCAATTCCCTTGGGTCGAGACCGCCCGGCTAACTTGGCGCCCGCCTTGGCGCTTCCGCAGCTGCACGCGGCCACCGCCTTGCCTCCTTTGCCTTGACCCCCCGGCTACCGCCCGGGCAACCCTGCGGGTAAGCGGGTTTTGCTGTAGTCTTGTTTTCGGGTTATAAGTCCCCGACGCATGGCGGAGGCGGAAACGCCTCCCGATTGCTAGACCCCTCGTGCCCGCTTCCGCTGCATCCATCAGCGCGGTCACAGTGCCTGACTCCCCCCCACATCAGCCCTCTCGCTGCGGCGCCTTCCGCACCAGCATGGTTACTAAGCCAGCATGTCCTTCAACAGATGCATGCCCGGTTTGCCTGTGCGAGTGCGACTTCCCTTCGCACCCTCAGGGCCCTGAGGCCCCCCCCCACATCCTCCCGTTTTGCTGCCGAGGTTGTTCCTACCTAACTCTGCCAACGCTGCGTCGGAGGCTGCGTGGCAAGAATTGCCGGACCGTCGTCTGCATTGGGCTGCACTCGAGACAGTCCGGGGGTTGGACACCTGAATGGGTATGCATGCGCTGCAACTCCACGGTCGATGAGCACCATCCGTTGCTGCAAGGCGTGCCGACAGCGCCCGTTTGCCCCACAAACGGCCACCCTTGTTGTCTGTGCTGAGTGCCAAGCTCCTGCAGCATGGAGCGCTTTACTTCCAGGCTCTTACCTCTCCTGCCATATGGAGGGTGTGCCATCTGTGTGTTCTCCTGCTCACCTGGAGACGAAACTTACATCCCTTGCGGAAGGGCGTGACATTCAGTTTATTTTTTCTTTATCTCTTTTGCACGCGCCGCTCCTGCTTCTCATGGAGCTTCATGGCGCTCGAGGGGTGTCATTTCTCATCGATGCCATTTGGGGCATCATTTCTTTAGGTAGTCAAGATCCCGATGGGACTTGCCAAACACTACCTTCGTGAGTTGGCCGTCCAAAAAGAGAGAGTTGCGATCACAATTGTTTGTGCGGTCAATGCTGTTGGAATTCAAGCTGGTGAAAAAGGTTAGTGTGATTACCCACACTGACAGCACGGCTGGCAAAATCAATGGCGACCAGATGTGGTACTGGCAAGAAGACCAAGCATGTGGAACTGAGGTTCCTGTACGTGCAAAATCTTGTGCGAATGCGCCTACTGAGGTTGGCTAAGATTGAAGGCACGCAGAATCCCGCAATATGTGGCGTCTGATGTGTTGCAAAGATTGAAGACCCAACTGGGAGTGGTCTCCAACCGGTTCAATTATCTCGCCACTGCTGCTCATGATACTGATGTTCATGTTGCTCCTGTGCTGAGTGCTCAAATGCCTCCTTCTCCCCGACCACCACTTTACTGGGAATGGGCTGCATGCTGTGTTGCCTGACAAACCCGAAACCAAATAAAGAGAGTGTGAGAGAAGGAGAGTGTTTTCTTCGACTCTCGAAAAGCTTTCCGATCGACTGTAGGATGCTCTTTCCGGTCCCGAAGGGATTACCGGAATGGATTTCGCTGCCGTTTGGGGCGCACGAAATTAAAGTGGAGGCAATGAGGAGGTGGACTGTTGGTGGATCCGGCGAACTATTTCAACAGACAGTTCACGGATCACATCAGCACGAATGGGACAAGACTGGCGATCACCAGTGGCGCTGGACTCTGAGTCATCCCTCAATGGCTTGGATGGGCATCGTGCGGGTGCCCATGTGTGATCCAATGTGCGGCCCCAGCCCAAAGCCGAATGACCAGATCCTCCTCTGCTTGAATGAGATCATTGAACGGGGAATGTGGGCCACCACAAATGGTCAAACCGTTGTGGAATGGAGATTGATGGCGCACACCATGGTGCCAATGCCTGGAAAGGCCCGACCAAGGCGAAACGCTCGAATGATCGCATCTCACCCACTGTGCTGGCGGTTGCTCAGACTGCGAATGCGCTTGAGCCTGGCGCCGAGATTGTCCTCCGGAAGAATGCGGGGCACCGTGAAGTGCGATCGCAATGAAGTGGCGATTGAATTTTAGGAGTGCCCTTGCAACTGCAACTGTTTTGCAATGTGAAGTTTACGTTGAAATGTTGAATGGATTTCCTCTCTGGATTGCAGAGAATGAAGTTTTTAGACTCAAGATGAATGAATCATGAGCATGTCTTCAATGTGCAGATGCAAACCGGTCTCCGAATGATAACAGCCGCGACTCGAATGCTTTCACCAGTCGAGCCAAAAATTCAGAATGAAGCCAATGTCTTTGGGCGGCCTTTGATCGTTACTGTTTCGAATGTTCTTTGATCGCTTCGCGACTGATGCCGCTTATTTGTTTATTGAACAAATGTTTGAATGGTTCTCGATTGAAGTCAGAATCAAGGGATGTGTTAAATGATACCTCCTTAGAATGTTTCAGAATGAACATGATGCCTTATCGAATGCTATACAGTGCCGAATGGCATTTGGCTCAAGACTGGACAGGACTGGCTTGGTCGCGTAAAGCAATGCGTGATTGATCCTGTGAGGATTCGGAAACAGACTGATCTTGTTGGATAGGACTGCTTGAAGTGTTTGGTTGAACTTTGCACGCTCGCCCGCGCTTCATTGACGGCGTCCGGTTTGGCCCCATTGTGGTCTGAGCTGTTGGCTACCCGGCTACCCGAGCTCAGAAACCGTCCGGTGAGGAGGAAGAACAACCTTAACTTCTCCGCGGATGGCAGCGCGTGATGCCCCCGCCGCCCTGCTAGACATCTTGCGAGCGACAAGAGCTGTGGCGCTGCGGACGGGGCAGCGGAGGTCTACAAGGCTGACGGATGTTGACGGGGATGACTCGAGGTGGGGCGGGCCGCGTGCGCAACCGGGCCAGCGGAAAGAAGCTCCTTTGCCACTGCCGTTTGGCGCACCTACGTCGATTTACGTCACATCGGTCAGTCCATGCACGTCGGCTGTGCTCCGCCGTGCTTCAGGTCCCTTCGTTTGGAATGCGTGCGTGCAATGTGCGTGCGCCCGCAACCATGCATTGGTGCCTTGTGCAGCTTGTGAATTTGGATCAACTTCAGCTTGGGTGCAGTGTTGCAGCAGAAATTGAAATGGGCTGTCCGCGTTCGAAAGAAAGCCCACCCGCTCGCCCTCACTATCTTGCCCCGTGAGGGCATACTATGGCCCCATGTGGCCGACTGAGGGTTGTGTGCCTATATAGGATGTGTGACCCCTTTCTATTCTCAGCTGGCAGCTGCCTTGGCCTTGGCGCTTGCCTCTGCGTGCTTGGTGTGTAAATAAGTGTTGAGCACAGGGAACGCATCGCCAACAACTTTGTGCGAAGAGTTTTCTTAATCGGACCGGAATTGCGACCAGGCACATGCGTCAGAAACGCTGTTTGGGAGGATCCGTTCTGGTGCAACGCAAATAAAAGAGCAGCCATTACGAGAGCTTGAACTTTTTTCTTCGAGCCTAATGAAACTTGTTTCAGAACGGATGGATGACATTGTTGACCAGAAGGGCTCAGGCATCCCGTGGTGGCAATGCTCCATCTCTTGGCCGTGGTTTGACGTGGCGAGCATCATTCAGTCGATCGTCCGTTATTCAGGCAAGCACTGGGCTAATTAGAGCACCCCTGGCGAGTGAGAAGTTGTGCCGCGGTGATGTGCATGTAGCTCAGCTTGTGCAAGAGGTCCTGCCTCGCAGCAGCATGTCGCGGGCAAGTTCCAAAGGGGCCAGCACGGTGCAGCGCATTCAGCAGCTGCTGCACCAAATGGCACAAGAGCATGCACCCTGGCTGCTCAAACTCGCAGTGCACATTTCATCACGATCCAGGCTCGCAAAACTTCAGAAGATTGTGATCAACTTGCATCTCTATCCATCCAAGGAGGAAGAAGTCAGCCGATTGAAAGCCGACGTGCGACGGCTCTCGTCGGCTTCAGGCACATCTCATTGCCCTCCGGCAGCGCAGCCAGATGGGCTGCAGTCCGAGGCGGGCATGAACGGCTCTCCTTGTCTGCAACGTGAGGGAGCATGGCATACGGTGCAAGAAAGCATATAGGTCAGGCCTGCTGAGTTACTTGTTCAGGATAGCGAGGGGAACAATGTTCTGGAGCAGGATTCGCTTCGCGAGGCCATGCCCAGCATGATGTTTTTTTTGGCTCGTGATGTCTGGGCCAGGCCGCAGCTTGCGCCGCCGAGCTGCCTCCGCCACCAACGGGAACTCACAGCTTCAGCGACATCAGCAAGCCGGACATGTCTCTAGCTGATGCAGAGGCCACAGCCGACTATCATGTGAGCAGAAGCTACAGTAGTGTCATGACATGGCAATGCGCCGATTTTCTGTGCAGGTCACTCAGGAAGATCGCCGGCCGCCGTTCAGCCCAAGTTTATCCGTGGATCTGGATGTCTGCAGCCTAAAGCTCGGAGCGAGACTGGTGCAGCTGAAAGTCAACGAGCAACCCTAGGCTGATGAAATCGACGCGTTTGGAAACGAACTGGATTTTGACGGTCCGGCTGTTTCTCCAGCTGCTTATTTCAACCTGTGGTGAAAATGGTTCGTGCATGTGGTTGTGCGTTTGTCAAAGTCAACCGCAAGGTCCGCACTGTAGTGTATTCGCTCCGCAACCTTCCTGGGTCGATGCTGGCAGGCTTGTGATTTGGGTTGCCGTGAGCATGTCGTGTCCGCAATCCGGCAGTGCGATAGATGTTCCTGCCTGCAGGTGTGGAGGCGAGCGCTGCGAAATGCAAGCTGGTGGTCAAGTCTGAGTTTAGCGAAGGCTGCACCGAATTTGTCCCATTGCGGCTCGAGGAGCCGTGCGTGTTACATCATTCCAGACTTTTGCCGGCAGCCCTGTGAAGCTGATGTTACTGTACATTCCGTACCTTTTTCAGATTCAGCAGGAGCCAAGCGTCCCAGGACAAGTTTGTACGTCCACTGCATGGTCAGCAGCATTTCAGCAGCATTTCGGAGCTGCATTTTGTGCGTGGCGTAAGTCCGAGACATAGATGTTGAGGGAGAGCTGGATCACTGCAGGTTTGGGACGAGACCGGATCAGATGTGCCACTTGGCTGCAACCAGCTCAGCAGTTTACCTTGCCGAGCACTGGCTGAACAAGGCTCTTGCACGTGTCTGACCCATTGCCGGAGCATCTGAAGATTGCCATCCAGATCCAGGGACATACGACCGCCATCGCAGAAGGTCTGGTGACACTCAATGCTGCAAGGCAGAGTCTTGGTAAAATGCGAGATGTTTGCGTGTTTGCGTCAAGAGACTTGCCAGAAGCCTGAGTGCCTTGCGTACCATCCTGTCGAAATCTGTGATGACATCGAGGACATGGACACTTTTCGGGGGTGGTGAAGTGGATGCGGAAGCCGTGGTGGAAAAGGCATTCGGCGCATAACGTGTTGTAGCAGTTGCATGCTATCCTATGTTAGTCCATTGGACCACATGTAGCCAAGCACAGACAAGTCGGTCACAATAGGCAGGGATAGGACTTTAGGGCGGACATTATCGAGGGGTCCATTGAGCATAGCTTGGGTTCAAGTTTTCCTTTGGATGGTCCACCGACCGTTCTTCCAGATGAACTAGGGGCGGGCGGAGAGGCAGTTCTTGCTTTCTCTAGAACATTGCAAGAATTTGAGGGTCGTGGGTTGAAGGGAAACCGCAGACTGTTACTATCAAAACCTCCTGCCCAGACCATTGAGATCAGCTTCGAGGGTGTTCTTGGCAAGGAATGCTCACGACCGTTCAAGGAGAGTCCGAGCGTTTGAGACCATCGGAATCACTACTACAGACCACAACACAGGCAATACTCCGATGTAGGCGAAGAGATGCTCAGCAAGACAAAGGACAAGATTGATAAGATACTACGTAGTATGTCCGTATGCCTTCATTGGCAGGAGGGCTCAAAGAAACACGGGGGTCTCCATCTTAATTGGAGGAGGCCCGGAAGAGGAACCCTGTGTCCAGCCGAGTCACAGCTGCCGGGGAGGTTCTCTCTGGAGTGTCTGGGCGTGGGCAGGAACTTCGGTGTGAACCACGACACCTCAGCTGAAACAGGAGAATCTGCGAATGGTTACCAGGAGCCGGTTGCACTTCCATGGCTGGCCGGAATCCTGAAGAAAGAAGAGGACCATGTTGGTGACACGGGGGAACATCAAGATGCATTGTGCGGCCATGTCTAGACATCTGACGAATTCACAAGGCTTGCAGCATGTGTGTGGGTCCTGCATGTTCAATTTATTGTTGTTTAAACCCCGTAACAGGGCATCTTTTTGTGTGGGGGCTGAAATTCCCTAAGCCCCACGGAGAGAGAGCGCGAAGAACCCACTTTAAAAATGTAACTTTGGCACGAGCTGTTCGAAGACTCTTAGGGGGTTCTTGGGGGCAGGAGGCTGCGGACTGCGATCTCGCAGCCGAACCCCCTGCGCTCCGGCAACAGTAACCTTGATTCTACCATATTCTACCAACACAACTTAACACAACATCGGGTAGCTGTTGCTGCAAGCACTTGTACCAGCGCGTTCCGGCAGATATCGAGGAGAGCGCCACTTCGAGACTAAGCTGCGGTTTTGCGCGTCACGCGACGTATGCGATGCGTTCCGAAAACTGGATAAATTCGAGCATGTTTGAGAAATTGGAAAACTCGAAAATTCGATTAATTCGAGAACTCGACTATATTTGCGAAAAAAAAATTCGAAATCTCGAAAATTCGACTTTTCGAGCTTTTCTCACTCCGGAGTCTCGGTTGATTCGAAAACTCGACAAATTCGACAACTACTATTACGACTACCTACTACTACTACGACGTCACAACAACAACAACGACGACGACGACGACGACGACTACTACTACTACAACTACAACTACAACTACAACTACAACTACAACTACAACTACAACTACAACTACAACTACAACAACAACAACTACTACTACTAC